ATTACTGGTTGCTAACTGTACTTAATCTGCAGAAAAGACTTCGACTAAGCCTCCAGTATATTCATTAGTCCTGGATCACTTGAGCTTCACGGAGCTTATTTACTTATTTTTAGGATTAGCAACACAAATTATTTAACTAATGTATTGATTAAGGCCCGTTTTTATGCATAACACTGTCTGGGAGCTTCAAATGTTGACTATGTGGGAAATACATTTTTACTGACAAATTAACTAATTCTTCCAGTTTAACTGAATACCAAAATTTTTTAAAACTCCAAACACTAACAATTTTACTTTTTAAAAAACCTACAGTTTTTACACAAAACTAAAGTCATTGATCCCTTTCTGGAGGTGGAAGGAAACCCAGAAATGACATTCCTGACCTAATTGTGATAGAAATTATACAGCACTGGAAAAATGGGTCAGCATTTTATCATTTACAAATCTAGGTCAGGTCAGCATTTCCCAACTAGTTTCTACTTGTAAATTCATATGCACCACTATTATCTCTTAAAATGGAGAACGTGGAAATACAGGGACAAATGTAAGGTAATATGTGAATGTGCAAAGACACCCAACACCCCGTGTGCCCAAGATAAGTGACCACAGGTGATTGAAAAGATTTCTAATAACACACAGAAATATTAACATTTTCTTTTGCACCTCAACTCTGTTCTCCACTGGCAACATTGGTGGTCATTTGTGCCTATTTTCATCTCATTGTCATGGTACCTAGAGTGCATTTGCTATATTTGTGCTGCTTAATTTGAGCTATTTTATGGACACCTCACATCTAAATATGAAGCAACAAGAGTGTCACAGGTATTAACAAGAGAAAGCATACATATAACTATGATTAACAGACTTAAGAAAATGAAGATGTAAATGCCTCACATGTCCTTGATAAATTATTGATAAGAGACACTATTCTGAAGGAAAAGTGCAAATTCTGCTATGAAAAAAGTACTCCGATCATGCAGTCAGATAAGAATGACAAAATGGAAAAACCTGCAAAAATATCGAGTCAGGGTAGGAAACCTGGCTACTCATTAGAATCACCTAGAGCTTTTAAAAACAATCAATGCCCAGAAATTTGGACTGAATTGGGTGGGCATATAGTTTCTCAAAGTTCCCTGGGAGTTTTTACTTGCAGTCAAGGTTACAAGTCACTATGCTACAGAAGACCAGAATCTACTTCAGATACCTACCTAATTAGCCTGAGGTAGTAGTTTTCAAAGTGTAGTTTATGGAATCTTTTCATGGGTTTATGCAGTCAAAACTACTTTTATAATGCTAAGAAAATACCTGCCTTTCTACTGTGATGCCATTTGTATTGATGGTGCAAAAGCAATAGTAGCTACAGAATTATCATCTTAACAAACTCCCTCCACCCTCAACCACTGAGGCATACAAACGCTGCTTTTCCTCTTGAATTTCCTGTGGAATTATCAGCATTGTTGTATAATAAAAAGGGCTCAAGATTTGGTGACAAACAGAGCTGTTAAGTTTAAATTTGAGCTTCACTATTTATCAGCAGTATGGTCTTGGGCAAGACACTTAAATCATTCCGCGCCTTTTTCTTCATATGTACACTGTGGCCAATAATGCAAGTTTTCAATAAAGCTCTGTATGTAAAACACATGGCAGAGTAGGTGCTTAATCAATATTTCCTTGCAATCCAAACAATTATCTAAACTGGAGTTGTGCTTCACCACTCCTTACTAAGCACCATCAAAATGATTTTATTTATCTTTATCTTTCAAACCTAACTACTATTGTCAAGAGTTAAGGCATTCAATCATCTACTATCACCGTATTTGTTTCTAAACTAGTCTTCCAGATTTTAATCTTCTATGTACATTGTTACCAGTTGGTTTTCCAAAATGCACACCATTCTTTTCCCTGCTCAAAGTCTTTATCAGGTACACAAACATCATCAAAATACAAAGGCCTTGAAATGACTTCAAGATCTGGCCCCAATCTTTCTTGTCTCATCTCTCATCATTTCACTGCTTAACTTCTATTCCTGCCAGTCCCCAAGCAACTATTCAACTTCATGCACTTTGTGTCCATAACTACCATTTCCTTTATCTGTCTGAAGGATAGAAAATGCTTTCCCAGCTCTAGCTAATGATTCCTTCCCTAATCCCTACTCACTCCTTAATATACAGGTCAGAGTGTTACCTCTTTGGGGATGTCTCCCTGGCAGTTCTGAGCCACAATTACTCTTTCCTCTGTTTCTAACATATTTCCTATGTATCTCAGCTACAAGATGAGGGAAACTATCTCACACCCTTTCTCTGATATTTGATTTAACTATAAAATGGGGCAATAGGTCCTACTTTGCAGGGTTTATGAGCATTAAATGAATATATCTGTAAGTCACATAACACATCAACAGAGGAAGAAATGAAGACAAACTTCCTCAGGTTGATCAAGCAAAGGCTGGGCACTGGGAATGATTCTAACCCTGTTTGGCTCAGTCTAAAGCCCATGTTCTTTCCACCACACATGTAGTCTCTCTATGTCCTAGCAGCTAACACATAAAATTTACTTATTTAATACTCTCCCCCACTGTACTGTAAAATCCTTGAAGACAATGAGCACATTTTACATGACTTTGTATCCCCAGACTCTCATTCATTTGAGTACCAACTCTGACACTGTGATGTAGAGATTAAAAGACGTAGTTTCTACTTTAAGAGCTCTGCCTAGAGAAGGGAAGAATATAGGCAACACCTTACTGCTGTTTTCTATGCAAGAGAAACACTGGGGGTATATACGTGGAGTACAGATGTCCAAATAGATACCTAAAAGGAGTAGAAGTAAACAGAAGGTACAGGGAAGGCCTCTTGGGAAGAGACGAAATTAAAAGTATTAATTCATAAATGATATAATTATCAGACTGTTTATGCTTTGATAGTTGTAAATTATTATTGCTGATAAACATTTTATGGTCTTCAAATGCATTTTAAAAAATGGATTCATTAAAATGCAGTAATTCAGATTTAAGTCATTATCACTGGGCTACCTCACAAATATACCAAGTGTAGGTACAAACTCAAAAAGAAACCTCATTGTGTAGCTCTTCCAACTACAATGTACATTTTCTGAAATGTGGACAACTTAAGCTCACAGGAACAGGGCAGGAATGAAAAATTAACCACCGGGCAGTTGTTTCTATTTTCCCCCATGTCTGATTGACATGTTATATTTGAGAGCAACAAATCATTACGACATATTTTATCCTCAGTTATGTTGTTTTTATTAACAACAGCATGAGGACTTCTGGCATCTGGACATTAAAATAAGTTTGAGTTCTGGCTTCACTACCTACTAGGTGTATAACCCCAAGCACGTCAGTCTTCTTGTGCCTGACTTCCATTGCCTGCAAACATATATTCAGTTTCGAGCCTGAAATAAGACAATGCTTATAAACTGATTTTTCAAATGCAGCCTGGCACATAGCAAGTGCTAATAAACGAGAGCTATTATAGTTACTTTGAAAAAACAAGTATGGCCAGATGATTCAAATACTAATAATCTTAAACACAGTATGTCTTGCTTCTAGATAGTACATAAGACAGTAAGGTGATGAAAAGAATAATCTATCTCTGACTGTACTATGAGCAAAATAACCCAACTTCAGCCTCGAAGAGCATATACAAGAATTAAGAGTAACAGTCTCTACTCTTTTTGAATTGAAAAAGGAACCATATTTTCTAAGTTAAATAACCGCTCACTCATGACACAAGTGTATCCGTCCTATCATGTGGTAGGTGGAGAAAGAAGCTGGCCAAGGAAGGAATAACCCGCTAATAAACTGCCATCTCCTCTATAAATGGTAAACTTCTCCAGGGAAGACACTGTGACTTATGCCCCAGCTATAACCAAAGTAGCTGGCATAAAGCAAACAACAATGAGTTTTCGATTAAATGTCTAAGGGTTTTGTGCTGTATGGGATTCTGCAGGAACTTCTGGGAACACAAGCTCAGCAACTTTTCACTGTAGAAGAGCTTTTTTGTCATGGTTGCTTTTGATACCATAATAAAAGGCATGCATCTTTTCCCCATAAATATGCTCATAAACGCAAATCTGGCACATGGACCTCATACATTCACCGCGAGGCCTGGTGTAGAGGCTGTTGGCATTTACCGTAACAAAGGTGAAATGCCTGCAGACATAGCTTGGGAGCTTTTTGCTATTACTACTGATTATTACATCTGTCCTCTGCCTATGCTGGCTTTATTTTTCTTAACCTGGAGACGTAAGCATTTTGCGAACTTCTGTGACTTATTTCAAGCTTTTCTAAAAGACCCAAACTATTAAAGGAATCTGCAATAAGACAAAGTAACACATAAAACCTTCTTAATGTGTGGAAGGGGAGGAAGGCCCGAGGCCAGACACACTCCAAGCACATTAAGCTCCTAGAAGAGAAGCCACCTCCACAGACAACTCCAATCATTAAAATATAGCTCATAAAGTAGCATCTCTAAAGTTGAGAGAATGGAGTTGGAGGAACCTAAAAGGCCACTAATTCAACATGTGAAAATTAAGGTGTAGCACTTGGGGTTTATTTGACAGCAGGGAAATAAAAACCTGGATCAGGCCCGCAGAGAGATAAGGCGCCGCAACATAACAAGCGCAAACCCGGGCAGTTCTAATGCCTCAAAATAACCACAAAGAGTCTAAGTAACTGATAGGTTAAACCAGACCAGCGCACTTCTTCGAAACAAGTCAGGAAAGTGGCCTCGGCTTGTGAGGAGGGGTTCCGCGGCCCCGGGGTCTTTCTTGGGCTGCCGGCCCTGGTTCTCCCTGGTTGGACGTGGAGGAGCCACATGGCTCCCGGGCCTGTGCATCCTCCGAGGCCCGGGAAAATCAAGTTAGTGACAGGGTTCCCTAGCCGGGGACCCGGGATCGCCGCCCAACCCTCCAGCCCTTGTGCGGGCCCGCAGCCCCTTCACAAAGCTCAGCCGCGACCCCGAAGCCCCGGTTCTTACCATGGTGAGGCCGGCGAAACCCCAGCCACATCACCCTTCCGGGCCTTGGGCGGAAGAGGCGTGCAGGCCCGACTTGCCTTTCTCGCTCCTTCCGCGGTCTGGTTGGGCCTGTCAGGGTACCTCCTCCGGAGCCGCACGTCTCAAACTCTACGATAGGCTCCTCTCTACCGGAAAGGGCGGGGTGTAAATGACGTCATTCAGCCCCGCGGAAGTAAATGACACTCTCATTGGCTGCTGGATGTCTGCCTGTGGAGCGGGCCTTTTGGAGGAGACCGGAAGTGGAGTTACTGACAGGTAGGGTCCGGAAGTGGCGACTGCCTCGGTAGTCTAGTTCTTTTCTTTTTTAGCTTTGTAGAACTCCGCAGCGCGCAAATTTATTCCTGCTTGGATTCCCCCCCTACGATGTGTAAGCTTTTGGCCCTTCTGTTTATGGGCTCTTCGGGAACACCTGGGTCCCCTGGGCTTACACGCAGGGCGTTCATCTCCTGGGCTCCCTTTTCAGTTTCTCCCTTTGCACCTGAGAGATTCTTTGGAATGTAAAGCGCCTTTGAAATGCCCTGTAAAGTTGTGGGATTAGGAGGACACTTGAATTCGGTGGGTTGTGTTGAGAAGGTGTTGGATCATTTCTCTAACATTGGCGTTTTGTAAATGGGTTCCATCTGGGGCTGAAACGTACTAGGCCCGTTGGGGTCAGGAAAGAACTTTCTGTGGTAACAAATGGAAAGGAACTGCGTTTCCTGAGTTCAGTAGTTGATTAGGTACTCCAGAGAAGGAGTCCAGCTGCAAGATCAATAACATGCCAACTTTTTCTTTTAATCAGTAGTATTATTCTTTAGCTTTCTCTAATTTTAATAATCCCATTAGATAAGGCTTTATTCCCCCCCACCCCGAGATTCTTTTTAAAATGTTATCAGTTTTTTAATGCTTTGACTTAAAGTGGGATAGAGAAAAATAGGAAAGGAAACTCACATGAGGTGTTGATTTATGTGCTGTTCTTGGCCAAACTATGAGACTCTTCTATATTCAGGGCAACACAGTGATTAGAACATTTGGGTTTCTCCTGTGATTACATCGTTGGCCACAGCCCAACACGTTTTCTTTCTTTTTTTTTTTTTTAACCATAACTAACTTTACTTTTGAATCTATTGAATTGTGAAGAGTTGGTCCAATACACAAATTTAGCAAATATTTAACTAAGCTTTATTCATGGGATCATGAGAGTGCAGCAGAGGAATAAAGATGGCCTGTTCCTTCCAGAAATTTAATGGGCATGGGGAAGAGGGGAATAAGAAATGTATAAAAACGTACTGTACCCTCCTCCTATCAAAAAACAAGCCATAATGCTCTGGCTTGTGATTGCTTTAGAGTATATCTTGCAAGTCTTGCCATTCAAATTAAATAACCTTGGCTTAGTTATGGAAATTATGTTGTGCAACTCATCAAGCTTGGCTTCTAAAGTAGTAACTGTGTCTGCAGACATTTTGCTTTCATGTGAAGATTGTCTTCATCTTTAGGATGAAGGTAATATGTAATACCTGAAGTGCACCAGGAAACTGAAGTTGTTAGAGATCACAATTGATGTACTATATTTATGGATTTGAATTAATTTTAGGCCATGGGCTCTTATGTACTTCAGCTTCAAAATAGGAAAGAACAATGTCAGTTATTTTAAAGTTACCCATAGAGGAGCCCAAATAGCAATAGATAAGGTTGAACATACATAAATGTGTAGTTTGTTTTTCATGTATCACAGCAAACAAAGTTAATCTGATGTGTGGCAAGATCTCTAGGGAGGTGGTAATTGAGCTATATGGTCATTAAGCACATAAACTCCCTGCTCTTGGTTTTCACTGCCAGTGAACTAATGTAAGTACTATCTTACATTGCTGTTTCAAAAGTCTACTTTCCATAGCTCTGCTGTGGATTCTCATTTCAAACTATCTTGGATCATTTTCTTACTTACTAAAAATGAAATCTGACTCTATCATTTCCTTCTTCAAAAATTATTGTCTCTCCTGCATCCAGAAGAGTATTTTTAACTTTGGTTTCATAGGTTCAGTAGGATTGTATGCAAAAATAGTATGTATTTATGTTTTTTTGTGGAGAGAATGCATAGGCTTCCCCAGTATTGTAAGGATTAAATGAGTTATTACAAGTAAGTCATCTAGCCAGGTATTGGACATACACTAAGCACTCAGTAAGGGTTGCCTGTTGTGTGCCTGGCTTGCTTTCTTCACTAAATTAAAAACTCTTTGAAGGGAGGGATAATGGTGGAGGGCTGATTGACTTGCATGTTAGGCACTCAATAAAAGGTTTTTTAAATTAATGGTTTTTAAAATTAAATTGGTATCACTTTTATACCACCAGACCACTTTCTTCCCTCTTCTCTTTTTACTTTGTGTCTAGTATTGATAGCGTTATTTCCTTTTATCTGACTTCTTTTTTTTCCCTCATTCAATGATATTCACATATATTAAAAGACAATGGTTTTACTTAACTCGTTTTCTTTGATCCTCAACTAGCCTCCATAGACTGAGGTTGAAGTTCTTTGTTACCTAGTGTTCGTCTTTGTCTTTTTTTTCCTCCCTCTTTTTTTTTTTTGTGGTACGTGGGCCTCTCACTGTTGTGGCCTCTCCAGTTGTGGAGTGCAGGCTCAGCGGCCATGGCTCACGGGCCTAGCCCCTCCGTGGCATGTGGGATCTTCCCAGACCGGGACACGAACCCGTGTCCCCTGCATCGGCAGGCGAACTCTCAACCACTGCACCACCAGGAAAGCCCTCCCTCTTTTTAAATTCTCTTTCCCCATGGCTCTTAGATTAAGACCCATAAAATTTTGATTGACCTGCATGTTATTTCTTTCACCTTAAGAAATGCTTCTTTTAACTTTTCTCTACTTCCAACCCCATTTATTTGCTCCTCTGAGCAAAAATCCTTTAAGGAGTTTCTATGCTCCAAGTCCCAATTTCCCTTCTACTGTTCTTTCTTGAGATCCCTTCAACATGGCTATTGCTCCCCCAAATGCTCTTGTTAGTGTCAGCAGTCAGTCTGAAACTGTGAATTGTTCATTTCCATATATCATTGCTATTTCTCGTCTCCAAGCCTTTGCTCGTGCAGCTTCTTCTGCCTGGAATGTGTTTCCTTATCTTTTTCCTTCCACTCCTAAACCTTTTCCACCTTTTAAGATTTACATCAGATATAACTCAAGGAAGCCTCCCCTGAAATTTCAGGCTGGTTAACGTGCTACTTTTCAGATGAGCTCCCACCCTGCCTCTGCACTTTACAAGCTTGTATAATAATCCTCTTTGGGTGTTTCTATCTCACCAGAGAGCTGGGGATATGTCTTACTCATCTTTGAGATATGAAAGCCTGGTACATAGGATGTAGTCAGTGAACATTTTAATGCATTAATGGCATGCCCAAAGTCACTCAGCTACGAAGCCGTAGAGTTTTGATTTTAATCTGGTCTTCTGAGTATAAAATCAATGCTTTATTTGCAATACCTTGTTTTCAAGAAAGAAGGTGGCTATCTTCAAGCTAGTTCTTTTTGTACTAGTAGGAGGTAATTAATGCATTTTATAGCCCTGGGCAGTTTGTTCCTTGACCTTTGTGAAGCTGATGAGAAAGCGAGTTGTGTCTTTTTCTAAAACACTGGCAGAAATCAGTGAACAGAGGGTTATTATAGTCAGCAAATTTTTTTTTTTTTTTTTTTTGCGGTACGCGGGCCTCTCACTGTTGTGGCATCTCCCGTTGCGGAGCACAGGCTCCGGACGCGCAGGCTCAGCGGCCATGGCTCACGGGCCTAGCCGCTCCGCGGCATGTGAGGTCTTCCCGGACCGGGACACGAACCCATGTCCCCTGCATCGGCAGGCGGACTCTCAACCACTGCGCCACGAGGGAAGCCCAGCAAATTTTTAATATTGATAAAATTGGGCTCTTTCTAGAAGAAAAACACCACTGAGACTTTCGTTGCCAAAAGAAAAAAATCTGTGTGAGAATTCCTAACTGTTGATGAGGCATTCATGCTTTTACTAGATGCCAGTATTGCCAATAGCTTTAAATTAAACTTTTGCTTTTGTGCTATTGGGAAATCCCAGGGTATTTACAAGGTAGTGCACAGATTTTCTCCCAGTGATGGAAATTTGCTCTTAAGATTGAGTTAATGATGGTTAGTTTGTTAACATGATTTCTGATACTTGGCACAAAAGTTAGGTACACTAATTTTGCATATAAAACACTGTTTAATTCTAGATAATGAGCCAGACTTTCCAACTACCTTTTATGGCAGGCATTCTGGATTCAAACTTCTCCCTGAATATCATCATCATTGTTGCAGTCTGTAAACCAATCTTTTATAAATTTGTCTAGCTTTTAGGACTAACAAAAAAGGAAATAATTTAATTCTATAAATTCTGAAAAGGCTTTGGCGGCTTTCACCCTTAGCAATGGGGTTGAAAATGATGATTAGGCTTGGAATTGCTGCAGTCAAAAACAAGTATTACTTGGAGTACACTCCTGAATTTGTGCCTTGTTTCTTTCAGCTTTACTAACCCTGCAGAAGTGACCAAAATGTTGAAATAAGCAAGGAGTTCAATCTGGTCTTTGTGTGAGAGGATGCTATTAGCTTACTTGTAATTTTGTCTGAACAGTTAGTGAGAATTTTATTGAATAAAGAAAGATCTTGCTCAGTTGGAACAGAAACAAGTGGCTGCCAAGAAATAAGATGCAGCCATTGTTGAAGAGGCTCATCAAAGTGTCCTGACAGTATAAATATTGACATGCTGAGATATGTCAATATTTACCATAGAATTTGGAAGTTGCCAAGTTCCTGTTTAAGAAATGTGACACTAGCATTGAACACAGTATATCAATAAATAAGGAGCATGTCCAAATGAACAGCTGCTCAGAGAAAATCTCAGAGAAAGTAGGATAACATCTGTCTAAACTTTAGGGCACTTCAAAAGTTAAATTAAAAAAAATTATTGATGCTTCTTTGATAATTTGTAGGTAGATACATGTATAATATAGTATATTAATATAGTTCTATATGTAGGTTTAACTTGTGTTTTTTTAAAAATTACATCATGGTTGCAATTTATA